TCTGAGAGTGTGAGAGTAAACACAATCTCATTGAATATCGCCCGTACTGAGAGTGCAAATGTGAAGAGCTGGAGCGAAAGTGTCAAGAGATTTATTTAAAATAAAAAAAGTTGTCAAAATCGTAAATATTAAAAATTTTACCAAAAACTACAATGGTAGTACCTGGGTAGTAAGTGTTATTTTCTATACGCTGACATCTCAAAAGTTACAAATTGGAGAAAATTCCCCTCAAACTTAGTTTTTGAGACACAGACAGTGACCAAATTTTAATCGTGAAAATATTTTTTTTTTACCAAAACTACACATGTGTTAGTCTCTGGGTAGTAAGTTATATTTTCTATACGCTGACATCTCAAAAGTTACAAATGGGAGAAAATTCCCCTCAAACTTATTTATTGAGACACAGACAGTGACCAAAATTTTAATCGTAAAAATATATTTTTTTTACCAAAAACTACACATGTTAGTCTCTGGGTAGTAAGTGTAATTTTCTATACGCTGACATCTCAAAAGTTACAAATGGGAGAAAATTCCCCTCAAACGTAGTTTTTGAGACACAGACAGTGACCAAAATTTTAATCGTGAAAATATATTTTTTTTTTACCAAAACTACACATGTGTTAGTCTCTGGTAGTAAGTGTAATTTTCTATACGCTGACATCTCAAAAGTTACAAATGGGAGAAAATTCCCCTCAACTTATTTATGAGACACAGACAGTGACCAAAATTTTAATCGTAAAATATATTTTTTTTTTTACCAAAACTACACATGTGTTAGTCTCTGGGTAGTAAGTGTAATTTTCTATACGCTGACATCTCAAAAGTTACAAATGGGAGAAATTCCCCTCAAACGTAGTTTGAGACACAGACAGTGATCAAAATTTTAATCGTAAAATATATTTTTTTTTACCAAAAACTACACAGTGTTAGTCCCTGGGTAGTAAGTGTTATTTTCTATACGCTGACATCTCAAAAGTTACAAATTGGAGAAAATTCCCCTCAAATTATTTTTGAGACACAGACAGTGACCAAAATTTAATCGTAAAAAGATATATTTTTTTTACCAAAAACTACACATGTGGAGTCTGGGTAGTAAGTGTTATTTTCTATACTCTGACATCTCAAAAGTTACAAATGGGAGAAAATTCCCCTCAAACTTATTTTTTTTTGACACGGACAGTGATATTACAAATGGAGCTATTTTGCTAGGAAAAACCTGTGCATTTGTGTAATTTTTCCTTTATATAAAGTTCTGGTCACACCGCAACATGTATGGGGAATAATAGCCATCTTATAACTTAGGAGGCTTAAGCATATAAAAATACACTTTTTACCCAGGGAAAAATCGTGGTGCATAGTGTATTTACTATCATCAAACATAACTTAATCCCTAACATCTTTTAATATATAAGAGTGATACAAAATAGTAAACATAAAATTTTAAATGTTTTAACTGAGCTGTGAAGTTTGCGTGACTAACCTCGTAGCTTTTCGACGGGAATAAGAATCTCCGCGATTGTTTGAAGATATCGGGGAGGGTGGGGGGAAGGTAAACACGCCCACTTATGACATCCCCCCCCCCCCACCGAACACGGAGCACGCCGCGAGTGTGTGCGAGTCTGAGCGTGTGAGTCTGTCTAAGTGTGTGTGAGTCTGAAAGTGTGAGAGCGAGTGTATGTGTGAGTCTGAGTGTTAGAGTGAGTCTGTGTGTGTGAGTCTGAGTGTGAGAGTGAGTTTGTGTGAGTGTGAGTGCATGTGTGTGTGTGAGAGTGAGTGTATGTGTGTGAGTCTGAGAGTGTGAGAGTGGAGTGTATGTGTGTGTGTGAGTCTGAGTGTGTGTGTGTGTGTGAGTCTGAGAGAGTGAGTGGTGAGTCTGAGAGTGTGAGAGTAAACACAATCTCATGAATATCGCCCGTACTGAGATGCAAATGTGAAGAAGCTGGAGCGAAGTGTCAAGAGATTTATTTATTAAATAAAAAAAGTTGTCAAAATTGTAAATATTAAAACATTTTTACCAAAACTACACATGTGTTAGTACCTGGGTAGTAAGTGTTATTTTCTATACGCTGACATCTCAAAAGTTACAAATTGGAGAAAATTCCCCTCAAACTAGTTTTTGAGACACAGACAGTGACCAAAATTTTAATCGTGAAAATATATTTTTTTACCAAAACTACACATGTGTTAGTCTCTGGTAGTAAGTGTAATTTCTATACGCTGACATCTCAAAGTTACAAATGGGAGAAAATTCCCTCAAACTTATTTATTGAGACACAGACAGTGACCAAAATTTTAATCGTAAATATATTTTTTTACCAAAAACTACACATGTGTTAGTCTCTGGGTAGTAAGTGTAATTTTCTATACGCTGACATCTCAAAAGTTACAAATGGGAGAAAATTCCCCTCAAACGTAGTTTTTGAGACACAGACAGTGACCAAAATTTTAATCGTGAAAATATATTTTTTTTTACCAAAACTACACATGTGTTAGTCTCTGGGTAGT